TTTTTTTTTTTTTTTTTTTTTTTACCTGTTGTGTAATCTCTACAGTAAGACCAAACAAAGGATGTAGTTTCTCACAAAACCTGTGCTTAGTCACTTGACAAGTGAACGCGGTAGTGACCATAGGTACTAGCGGTGCAAAATATTCTAAGTAGTGAGGAATAAAGAACATATGTGTGGAAGTTTTCCCCTAAGCTGAGCCCAATGTACTCAGCTCAGCCTGTGACCTCATTCTTATAGCTTATAAGCTCAGCTGATCATGACAAAGAGCCCCTTGAAAAATTGAGAGCAGTGCAAGGTGGTGCCCTGGTTGAGCAACTTACTGGTTTTTGTAGTTGGAATGTGTAGCAGTTCTTTCTCAAGCTTTTTGGCCACTTTGCAGCAATACACTGATGTTTCTGCACTTGTACTGCTTCATGTAAGGCTTTCCCTCTACTGATTCATGTGGCTTTTAATATTGTAATTCTTGTAACATGCATCTGAAATCCTGGGTTATAACAGTTTAAAGGTATCTCCATTTCAATCTCCACCCCAGTCCCTTTGGACCAGACCATTGTGTTTAACACTGCAATGAATTCCTTCCCTTACCCCTGCTCTGGCTTGGACTTCTCCACAGGCTACAGTCCCTCAGGGCTGTACCTGCTCCAGAAGGAGCCTTATCTATGAGCAGCAGTCTCTTCAGGAGAGAGACTGTGCCACCTGCTGTGGCACAGACTTACCCACATATGCAAGGAAAGCAAAACAAGGAATTTGTTCACCACTTTCCCGGGGAAGGCAGATGTTTGACTGTCTCCGTGAGTCTAGGGCTCCATCATGTGTGAGGGTGACTTGGGAATAAAAATTCCTTCTCTCCAAACATTACCCCCTTCTTCTCCCCCCAACTTTTTATCTGCTGAGCATAGAATATCTCTTTGGTCAGTTAGGGTCAGTTGTCCTGGCTGTGTCCCCTCCCAGCTCCATGTGGGTCCCCAGCCTTCTTGCTGGTTGAGTGGGGTGAGGAACAGAAAAAGTCTTAACACAGGAATGTTTTAGTAATTGCTGAGTAGTGCTTGCACAGAGTCATTGCCCCTGTTTTCAGCACAAATCCCAAATACAGCCCCATACCAGCTACTGTGAAGAAAATTAACTGTATCTCAGCCAAAACCAGCACATTCTTCATCCCGTGTCCCATAGCATTTACATCATGCTCACGTATAACACTATCCAATCAAACCACCACCCTGCTCCACCTTCTTTGATATAATACACAGATAGAATTTCTTTTCTTTTCTTTTTTTTTTCCTCTGTTGCCCAGGTCCGGGACTGCCGCTTGGTCAGCCTTCTGGATCTGGCCCTGGAGAAGGACTACGTGCGCTCCAAGGTGGCTGAGTACATGAACCATCTCATTGATATTGGTGTGGCAGGCTTCCGGCTTGACGCTGCCAAGCACATGTGGCCTGGAGACATCAGGGCATTTCTGGACAAGCTGAAAGATCTAAATACTAAATGGTTTCCTGAAGGAACCAAACCATTCATTTACCAGGAGGTAATCCCCATGTTTTCCCTTGTATGTTTGTTTTTGTCTTTCGTATCTCTTTTACCTTCCTCCTTCAGAGGAGGCAATACAATCTTCATCCAACTTACCTCAGAAGGAGCTTTCTTGGGAGCAGTGCTGCACACATAAGTAATTTTGCTTTTTAAAAATGCCTTCACAACACACAGTGAATTCAACTTTACCTTTTCTTTCTTCAGTCATGTTTTTACATGAGTCCATCATGTAATTTTACTGACTTTGGATTGATTTACTCAGCAGAAATGCACATACTTAAATACTTTTTTTTTATCAGTATAAAGCAAGAACTAATGTTGAGTTTTGTACACTGCATTTTTGGTCTTTGTGAGGCAAGAACAGATGCACAGATTTTCCTTCCTGTACCAGGTGATTGACTTGGGTGGAGAGCCGATCAAAGGCAGTGAATACTTTGGAAATGGACGAGTGACAGAGTTCAAATACGGTGCAAAGCTGGGGACAGTGATCCGCAAGTGGAACGGAGAAAAGATGGCCTACCTAAAGTAAGGATGGAAATGCTGCTGTTTACCTGGGCTGCGCTGGATACAGCAGTTGACAGGGTAGCTTCAGCTCTTTGTGTTTTTGGCCAGGAACTGGGGAGAAGGCTGGGGC